CTATCCGGTGGATAGCGCTATCCGGCCTTCGTACAGCCGGCCCCACGGAAATGGCTGTTTTTCCCGCGCGTAATACAAATATATAAATATACAAAATTTGCGAACTCCACAGTAATGGATTACATTCTTATCTAGATCAAAATTTAGTCTATAGCTAAAATCTATTGAACAAGAGCATGCATATACTAGCTGTACTTATAATAAAAAAACTTGGCGCAAATTGCGCATATAGTCTATATACAGACGAGTAAATAATATTTGTCATATGAAAAACTTGTCATAAAAAAAAATGTCATATTTTAAGTCTCAAAATAATGGCTGTACGATTGCATGCTAGAACGCCACATTTGGCTTGCACGTATTAGCACAAATAAGCCATTATGCAGGCAAATGAAGATATCTGCCCATTAAGTTTAAACAAAGCGCCCCACCACGAAAGAAATTAAACTTGTTAAAAAAGCATTAAATACAGTGTAAACACAGCGTGTATAAACAAATATACTTGAACGGACTGAATAATTTATGTTTTTTTCTAAAAGGGAACAATAATTACCTGTGCCATGCATGAATTAATAAAACGTTTTTGAGTGTATATTAAACGTAAACATTGCACGTATAGTAGCCCAGCTCTTTAATACTTTATACAAGCAGTAGGCAGCTCTTTATAAATTTGGATTAATCGTCTTTTCGATGGCCAAAAATGCAGCCAATATTTGTTACCATTTAATATTTGCGCTGATAGTTATATATATCCGTTATTGCTCATGTCCTCGTTTTCCATTTGTGGAATGAAGTTATATTACTACAGTTTAACATATGGAGCTCACTGCACGCTCTTCAAGTTAATTAGCATGCGGTGCTCACAGAAAAAGGCCTGGAACTAACAGTAACGGAGTCTATATTACTATGACTGCAAGTATGTAATCATTTGTTTTTTCCTTTAAAAAAAACTATTTGAAATTTTGGAACAAAAAGTTCGGTTATAATGTGGAAAAATATCAGGGTTTTGGGTCTCAGAAACGTTTTTTGCTTCACAAATACCGCGTATATTTTGTTTAGTCTCAAAACAAGTCCAGAACATTGTTTCCAAACAGATGGCTGAAATTTGCGTCGAAAAATAACAATGCTGCATTAAATTTGTTGTGCCGTTATGGTTGGGCCCAGTGTTGGAAATTATATTAAAAATCCATCTCTCGAAACTACTCAAGCAATTTTGAAAGGTTATTCTTTTTGGCAATATATACGCAATTGGAGAAGTACAGTACAATTTAAATAAAAAAACAATTATACGAATGCCTCGCTCATAATGCATTAACTCACAGTCGACATGCAGATGGGAACAGCTTGTCGAATTTAGTGCATATATGCTTCTCAAATTGAGCAACGTTCTGAATACCAGTTCATGCTTTTAGCAATATAAGACTAAGTGCGAGTAATTTTCGCTCAAGAAACCGCAGCTAATAGCATTCAGTTCAAATTATACCTAAAAAGAAAAGCTAAGCTGTGTATTTAATGCACATATATATAAGTGATATAGAACAACGCCTGCAAGAGGGCGGTTTATTGCTTAAAAGGCCATTACAAATTGAAAAGAGAAAAGCATTTCAGAAAGAGCCGAAAGTTATCTTCAAAACGACAAGGTAAGGGCATTTAATGAATCATAGATCAGTTATATCGTATCGTTTCTTAAATTGTCAATGTTATAGATATTAAGGAATATAGATAACATAGACTTTGTTATATATGACCTTAATCAAATATACTGATAAGGACAACAATACGCTCAAGGGCTTTGTCAAGGGGGTTTCAAAATGAGCTAACTAGATTAAACCGTGTGAAGGCAAAGGCATATCATTATATATGGGCAAAGAATTTGGTTCCTATATAGATAATATTCGCCAACATTTTTGTTTGATGTATGGCACATACGGAATACTTATGCAAGGGCAAAGTTAAAATGCAATATAGCTTAGTATAATATAATGCGGTTCCATATGTGTATATTAACTACTCTCTACGGCTGTCCGAAAGCTGCTTAGCTTAAAACACATATACATGCATGGTTTGCTAGGCTGCTAAACTAAATACAGGCAAACAATTGCTTCATGCATGGATTAAAATTTCATTTACTAAGTTTTCAATGACAAGACACAAGTCAAGGTGTTTATAGCAACTTGTGTAATACTATATAGACGTACATACATATATATATATATATATATATATCACAAGTTTTTTAACGTATAGTAACGTATATATATATATATATGTGTGCATGTGAATGAAGAATAAGCTATATGGTATAATATCCGTTTTATATATTATTTGTATAATTTTTTCAATAGTTTAGGAAACGAGAGAAGATGCCAAGGTCATTTCTCGTCAGGCTAAGACCATCTCTGGATAGTTTTCCGCATCATGGTGAGTTAGCCCGGATCAAAGAGAGAGCATCGACCGTGGATATAGTGTTCTTAATGCTTTTCCAACACTTCATGCATTTCATTTAAGTTTAATTTTTCTTTGCCAATTAGGAGCCTTGTTCCAAAGCTAGTCATGCATGTCAGCTTTTGGACAAGGAAGATTTGTTCGTGCACGCATACTGTCCCAAGAGTGGCCCCATGCAAAGGCGGCCTTGAAGTGAGATAAATGTTCAATAACATTCCGAGCACACGAGCAACAAAATTTGTCAAGGAAAACTTCGTTGCCACAAACGAAAACTTAATTGTCAAGGAAAACTTGTCAAAGGAAAACGTAATTGCCAAGGGAAACTTGTTTGGGGAAACTTGCATGTAAACGAAACTTTTTGACCCAGGGCATTTTTTAAGAAATTACAACTACTGGGGCTATAAGTCTCAATAGAGACCTTAAGATTGACGTTTACGGCAAACGTCAAACCGCTAGCGAAGTTTTTGATTTTACAACTCTATTATAATAGCTTTTACACCAGTTTTGAAATATGTTAGACTTATTAAACTTGTGCTCTTTAGCAATGATTTAAGAAAGCAAATTAACCGCAAATCATGCCATTCACCAAAGCAGTAAATTAAGATTTGGCGTTTGAAGTTGACGTTTGGCGTATACATGCATTTCATGCTTTAACGACTACAAGCCCTCGTAGCAGTTCAAGCATGGAATTTATACGCCAAACGTCAACTTCAAACGCCAAATTTTAATTTACTGCTTTGGTGAATGGCATGACTAGTGGTTAATTTGCTTTCTTAAATCATTGCTAAAGAGCACAAGTTTAATAAGTTTAACATATTCCAAAACTGGTGTAAAAGCTATTATAATAGAGTTGTAAAATCATAAACCTCGCTAGCGATTTGACGTTTGCCGTAAACGTCAATCTTAAGGTCTCTAATGTACGCGTAACTTTGTGCTGACTTTTATAAGATGGAATGTCGAGAATGTGAGAGGATATGAGAAAGCAGGCAGATGTATAGCTTGTTCAACAAGGATGACTTTTTACTAATGATCAAAAGGGCCTAGCTCGTCTGAAAGCATTGCTTCACTACTATGGGGCAAGCAAAGGGCCTACTGGGGTAAATGCCCCAGTAGTTATATAGTTAAAAAATGCCCTGTTTTGACCGTACACACGAGAAGGGGAACTTGTCACAAAGGAAACTTGTCAAGAAAACTCACAAAGGAAAACTTAATTGTCAAGGGAAACTTGTTAAGGGGTTTTTGCATGTAAACGAAACGTTTTCACCATACACACGAGAAGGGAAACTTGTCAGAAAGGAAACTTGTCAAGAAAACTCATGCATGCTCGTCTGCATGTATTGGGGCTTTATTCAAATATCGTTAGTTCAGGACCTTTCTGAAAATCACTTTGTGAGATAAAGCTTAATGAAAATAAAACAGAAAAAAAGAAACTGCGCAAAATCTTTAAATGTAGCGATCTTTTATCGAAAGTATCTAGATACGCAGTACAAACGATAGTCGGCAAACTTATTTTGCATTAAACGCATGCTATAACAATATTTTGTAGACACAAAGTCCCACAGGTATGGATTAAACGGGGAAAAACGAAGATATAAAAGCGCTCAGCCATCCGATGCTACGCCATCCAACCAAACAGCCGCCACAGCACCCAAACATACGATACCAAGTGAAACTCAATCAAGCCAAGGGAAATATCCTCACTTGGAACCTGATATCATCGAGTCTTCACATAATAACCAATCAAATTTCACTACAGTTATGACGTCACAACAAATCAATCAATCTGCAATTGATACCACAAGAGCATTCCACCATGTGAGACCAAGCTTCGAAGGAGCGATGCCTGTCCCAAATTATCATATCATGCCATACATTTCGGGCTGGACTCAATATGATTGCTTGCCAGCCAATAATACGTGGTGCTATCCCTCCATGAATAATCTGCACCTTCAAAAATACCCAGAAGGCGATAGACCTTTGTACACAGGTATATTATTAACATTTCAAACACTCATTAATAATTCATAAGCTTATTGGCAAATCATGTCAACCATAATATGTCACGTGCAGTGGCTTTAAACCTGATAAAACACTCCTAATTAGTATTCTTTATATAAAGAATACTAATAAGGCAGTATCTATTGTTGTCGTGTCCTCATTAGTATTTTTTATATAAAGAATACTAATAAGGCGGTATATCTATTGAATTTGTATAGTCGTGTTTGAAGCCGTTTAATAAACTCGCAGGTCGTGTTTTATTAGGTCTAAAGCCACTCGCGCTGCGCGCTCGTGTCTTTAAACCTAATAAAACACTCCTGCTCGTTTATTAAACGTACAGTACATAGTCGATATCACAATAGAATTCGTGTTAAATGTCACGTGTATATATAACACGCGCTCAAAACTAATGAATGTACTTTTCTCAAGCGGCAAACAAACTTAAAAAGTACGTTTAGTGCTTTATCTGTAAAATTATGTAAAATGAAGAGGTTTTAGATGGTACGCCAAAGAGAAAATGATGTCCGAAGTTAACAGTGGCGTTTTCAAGGGAGGTGGGATGCAAATGTGATTTCTAGACGCGTTCCCCACTTGTTTTTATGTATATATCTCTTCGTACAGTCTACAAATGTGGGGGGAAATACAGGGTAGATATCTTCAAGAAAGTTTCTAACAACAACAAAATCATTTCAATATTTAGGTGAGGTATCTCTTCCAGTTTATTCTAAAGAGAACACGATTTACAGAACACAGCAACACTCGCAAAGATTCCAAGGCCGCGATAGTGAACAGCAAAAAGTCAGGTATGTTTACTCAGATACCTCATCTATCAACTTTTTCACTGGTTTTTAGCCGCAACTTCGTCTCTGGAAACATCGTAACTCTCGGGAAAACAAAAAAAAAGTTTCCCGATGGAACAGATATCAAGCGTTTTGTTACATACCGACGAAGAAAATATAAACAACATTCGCAAAACAGTTATATTTCATGAATAAAACTCTTTAATGTAATGATCTTAACAATAAAGGAACTTGCAAAAAAGTGTTTAGTTTTTGTAGTCCATCAGTCGAAACTGTTTTCCGTAGCGGCCCCAACTTAAGGCCCAGGGATCGAGGTTGGTCCCAACTTTCAAACCATTATATGGAATTAGCATTTTCTGTCTTTTACAGCGAGGTATCGACATTCCCAAGAGCATTCAAGGAGTTCTTTTCGGTTGACGAAAAACCTGGAACAAAACATCCTGTCGACGATCACATAACGAAATCAGCTACCGTACTAGAAATCCCACCGAGAAAACATGCCCGTTCTGACCACTACATTCAGAAAGCGATCACACAGCTGGCAAGCGAAGAAACAGGGCAGGAAGGCGGAGAATCTTCCCAGAAAAATGAGCCATCCCTTTCGTTCCGAACCAACGCGTCTCCTGCCATTCCAAGTGAAAAACCTTTATCCAGCCCAGACGAGTTGAAGGCTGAAGAATCGAATCCAGAAAAGATCCACACGTGCCAACAATGTAACAAAACCTTCAACCGTGCGTCAAATCTGCGCGCGCACATGAAGACGCACTCCGACCACAAACCGTACAAATGTGATTTTTGCGGGAAGGGATTTCACCAGAAAATCGACAAACGCATCCATCATTACACGCACACTGGCGAGAAACCGCACAAGTGTACGAAATGCGGGCGCGGTTTCAAGCAGTTGACCCATCTCAATTACCACATGCGCACGCATTCTGACACACATATGTACCACTGCTCGTATTGTGGTAAGGGTTTCAACCAGAAAGGAAATCTGCAGGCTCACATCTATGGACACACCGGGCAGCGCCCCTTTAAGTGCGAAATCTGTTCCAAAGGCTTTACACTGAGATCCACTCTCAACACGCATGTCAGGACGCATGCGCCCAAAAAGCCGTTTGTTTGCGAGCATTGCAATAAGGCGTTTTATCAGAAAAATGCTCTGAAAATGCATCATATTGCATCACATCCTATTGTAAATGGGAAAAGCATCTTGTAGTGTTAAAGTTTTAAAGACATTAATTTTGATGTTGTATGGAACCATACTAGTTTGTAAAACTATTGACCGCGATTCGGAAACTAGCTACCGCAATTTTGCATTACTTTATATTTTATGCATTATCGAGCTAACAGCAAGGGTGGGTTGACTACAAAATTTTTGTAGTTCGCTATAACTACAGCTACTTCAAAAATATGTAGTCAGCTACAACTACTGCTACTTTTGAACAAAGGTAGTTCGCTACTGACTACAGCTACTGCTTAAAAAATCTAGCGAACTATTTCGCTATTTCGCTACTCTATATTTTTTAGTTTATGATATTTGGAGCATAGTTGAGCATCCACTAACTCAGGCTGTAATATAACCTATAACAAATCGACTTACGAGTAGCAACAGTAAACAAAAAGGGTCAAAGCAACATTTTTGTAAGCACTATACAGTGTTCAGGAGTGCCACTTTTCATTGCGATCATGCGCTAAAATAATCTTTACTGTATAGAATAATCTTTTAAGCAAACCGTGTCTTAATATCATTCTATTCTATGAACGGTTGCTAACAATTTTAAAAAGTAGCGAATAGCGATTTGCTGTTTGAAAAGTAGTCAACTATTTGGCTACTTTTAGGCAAAATGTAGTTCGCTATAACTACAACTACTGTTTTAAAAAAGTAGTCAAAAACTACTGGCTACTTGAAAATTGTAGTTCGCTACAGTCGCGAACTACTACTACTTCGCTACTACCCACCCTTGGCTAACAGTTATTCAACGACTAAATACTCATGAAAAAGGGTTAGAAATCAGTAAAATCTGACGTTGAATTTTTCAAAACGCAACTTTAATGGGTTTCAAACAGCTTTGTTAGGTAATATGAACAAACAAAATCAATTCAACAAAATGTCCGTTTTGAAGGGGCTCTGAATGTCAAACAATTTCAGAAAATATTCAAAAACTAAAGCTAAATTTCAGGACTTCCAAGTACTTCTTTACAAATTCAAGGACATTCAAGGCCTTGAATTTTTGTTTCCAAATTCAAGGACATTCAATGACTTTCAAGTTTTGTACGAACCATGTGTTCAATAGAGACTGCTATTTAAGGCAAAGTGTAAGAGTTTAAGATTGAAAACAATCTATGCAATCCCTTTGAAATGTGCAAAAAGTACCTAAACGAGGCTAACGCCTGTATTCTAAAAGCTCACTCACACTCAAAGAGTGGAGGTCAGTGGCGTGCTGGCAGGGGGGGCCGGGGGCCATGGCCCCCCCAGCTGGCAATTCTTGGGGGCGCAAAAATAAAAAGGGGGCGCCGATCCCGCGCCGAAATTTGAAAGTGGGTGGGAAAAAACGCATTCGAAAAAATATAGTTACCTCCGCCAAGAAACTGAAGAGATGTGTTTATAGGCTTATAAACAGACTACACGAAATCGTTCATATAGAAACATGATCAGTGATCACACGCAATGTCTCATTACCGGAGTATTGGCCAGGTTTCGAAGCGATCACGGGAATTATGCCCTTATATTATGAACCACGAGAGCGGCGCAAATTAGATAATTGAAGTTATGATAATGTAAAGTTGTGTACGCAATTTAGTTGTTTGCGCAAGAAACATCATGAGTAATGTAAGTAATGAGATAATGCTGAAGCGCGCCCTTTTGGCAGCCAGGCAAGGAAAGCTTAAAATGCATATGCGTGAGGTCCGTGTGTTATTGTATAAAAGAGTCAGTAGAGAATAGAATTGGGATTAGATTAATAGCTGGAAGTGGGTAGCATTGGCCAATTTAAGTACTACTAAATTCTAACAAATTGTACGTTTCGACACGTTATAATGCCGTTTCCTGACCATCAGCTTTCTGTCAAATCTTCCCCCCAAAGAGGTTAGATTTTCGTTAATTTGGTTACTGCACATTTGAGTTTTAAGAACTGCACAAATGGGTTTAGAACTGCACATTTTGTGTAGAACTGCACGTTAAAATAAACCCTGCCTCCACTCTTTGAGTGTGAGAATGCAGGCGAATGCTTTTAGAATGCAGGCGACAATCTATAGCATAAACTTGGGTATCTTTAGGATTTAATTTCTCAAAGAGCATAAATGGAATTATATTTATATTTGGTAAAACTGTTAGTCTTGAAGCGTGCTATAAGGCGCCAGTGATTACGTTGGTTGAAATTAATTTGGGGAGAAAAAAGATTGACAATTACTTTTTTCCGAATCAGCCAAGACTTGGAATTACTAGCTAGATTAAGTTAGAATTGTATTGAATTTTTTGTAAGTTACAACGGCTCTGTGTATGACGTTTTCATGACTGTGATACCTTCGACTTGTAAATAATTATGGAAAAACTACTGATTTTATAAAGACAGTGACATTGACATTTATAGATATTAAGGCATGCAAAATTATAACTTAATCATTAGAAACCTTTAATCATACATTATATTATACATTAATTTAAAATTAAGTTAATAATTTATAAGTTAAAATTAAAAACATTTACAATGGCTTGGATGGTTATTTACAAACAGTATCAGATGACGAGTGTCCTTTATTTGTCCCTGCGATGAATGTTTGCATACGTTAGGCGAGATAGAATCGAATCTAAAGAACGACATTAGACCTGCATTATTTTGTGATATTTAATTCAGGGGACGAACAGAAATTTGCCCGACAATATCATGGATTTATTCATACATGAATAGAAAGTAAATAGAAGGAACATACCTCCTATACCGACGCACGGAAAACGATAAATAAAATTTCTGGAATTTCATTCAAGATATACCGAAAACCCCTCACTCAACAGCATGAAATTTGAATTGAATGAAAAAATTTCAATCTGTCAATCAGTTTCTCTGACAAAACATCAATATCTCAACATTGATACAGAGGCAAGTAGGCACAGCAAATTGCCCGATTTTTTAAATAGAATCTGCTTGAAACAGGCCGTAGCGACCGGGGGATTATGAGGGATCTACAGCCCCTCCCCCCCCCCCCAATATTTGTTCATGAGTAATTTGAGGTAAGTTTAGTGGTGATTGAAGCTAATTTTCAGGTATAGTAGTATATGAGCATTGACAGGCAAACGGAAGTTAAAAGTAAACGCAACCAAAATGCAGGACTTTCCCGACTTTCTTTTTGTACTTTCCAACTATGCCACGTTACTATATTATAAGTAAAAATCGGCAAAAAAATGTCCATCCCGGAGAGGTTAGATAAATCCTTCATATGGAAAATTTTATCCCACATGACTGAAATTCCACCAAGCGCAAGGTGAGATCTCGCCTAGCTGGGCTGGCATACAAATTGAATTTTACATGCGTTACAAAGGATGCAGATCTAACCAGGGTTCGTACATGTCAGGAAGAGTTAAATTCAAGGATTTTCAAGGTCATGTATCGGGAAATTCAAGGCAGAGAAGAAGGCGTTAGAAATCAGTAAAAGTTACGTTAAACTGTTCAAACGGCAACTTTAATTTACAAAATGTCCAATTCTTTTCAAGGATTTTCAAGTTTTGTACGAACCCATGTCTAAGTCAAGGAGTTTTCCAGTAAGCTGGGCTCATATGACAGGTACCGTACGAGATCTTTAGCGTATATATTTACACGATATCAAACCACATGCATGGGTTTTCGTGGAAATTGTACACAACCAAGAATGTCTTAGCTTCATTTAAAAGTATCTTCAACATACCTGTTCAGATAACAGTATGACAGAGTGGACACGTGACCAGTGTACGTATTTCCTGTTCATAAGCACGATGTTTACATGTTGAACACATCCAAAACTGATAGTCCATCAATGGTCGTCCTGTTACAATGCATGTCGGGAATTGTGTCTCACAACGTGGACACCGTTTGGATCTGGAGGAAAATAATGAAAGAAACTTAAAAAATAATAAAATTTAAAGTGTAGTAGTTTCACCGACATTCAGTGATGCAGTCCAGCAATGCTAAATGGGGGGTGTTCAGGGAAAGTATAATAAGCCTTGCTTACAACATGTTCGCAATTTTTTGGTTGGTGATTTTTGGAGAAAAGACTTAGCTTGAAATAAAAGATTCCGATATACCAAAGCTATTTGATGTTGGAGCCACACAAAAATCTAATTGTGGGAGCATAGTAATCAAGTACAGATTATTAAAATCACTATCGTATCATTTCAACACTACGATCACTTTCCAGGTTATGATTGTGCAATGTGCAAAAATATTGAGGGCTCACCCTCTACTAATCGACATGGAATTTTATAAGGGGGCTCAGTCCCCCGTAGCCCCCTCTACTGCAATCAACATATTGTCGTTTTGGTTTTAGTTCAAGTAAATGACTGCAACAATCCCCCAAGAAATTCCATTCACGCGAGCAAATGTTTCGACACCCCAGTCTGCAACTTTACAACATTCGTGATGAAGACATCAACATGGGAGTGATGGGACTTATTATGATGTCATCGCTCAAGTATATAAGATTATCTGTGATGAAGACTAGAGAATAAACTAAAAGTCAGAAACATTGCTCGTGAAATAATGTATTAATTTTTTCGGGGATTGCATTCATATACTATCAATAACCAAGGTATATACTCACGAATCAGGTATTGGTGCCTCACAGCTTGTGCATTCGACGGAGTTAGTTCGAGCATCCTTTGGCGAGTTCCTAGTTTTAATATATGATAACAAACATAAACAAATTAAACGATGCTAAGGTATAGATTTAA